CTAAACAAAACAAAATTACACTGCCATTTACATTCAGTGGCTTCCCACATGATAGATGAAGAGATTAAAAAATAGATTGAGTTAAACAATTGATATTTTCAAAAGTTATCGTGTTTACAAGCCACAGGGACATGATAAATCCATACCATAAGCCACTAAAACCCTTTTTTTAATTTAAAAATAGCAATTAATCAATTTAAAAAAAAAATAAGTTCAACAATCATATATCTTTCTAACAATGTGCTTTTTATATCATTTATATGTATAATATCATTGCTAGATACGATTTTATTCGATAAAACGTTGGAATCTTAATTTTTAGGCGATAGTAGAACATACCTTGCGCTTTCGCTTAAGGTATGCAATAAAAGGCAAATCCTATACATGAATATGTTTGTCCCTTTTTCGTTTCATCGTGTTAAATCACAAGGATTTTTTTCACTACGAAAAATAACCTAATATCGTTGATATTAATAATAAATAATATATTTTGTGATTGTTTTTCGACCTTCCAAATATTGATTTTACTTGAAGTTTGTATTTTTTTGCGACCTATAAAGGTCAGACGGAGAAATTTCTCTCGCTTATTACGTTTTACATAATTAAATGTAACTTGATAATTGATAATTGGAACCTTACTGAAACATAACGCTCCGTCATAATAGTTTGCATTTGTTTCGTAGCAGTACACAGAAGAGCAGTGTGGCGGTAGGGGAACAGAAATCAACAGTTCATTTAGTTCCGCAGGTATCGTGAAAGGTGGTTATAGGTATTGCCTGGCTTCTCTCTCTTCTCTTCTTTTGAAATCTTGTGGCTTCTCATCATCATCGTCACAGCCTTACTGAACTCCTGAACCCAGGCCTCCCTCCCTCGTTGGCGCGGGATAGCTGCAACTTTTTATTACTTCGTGTTGTGATCAGGAAGATTCAGCTTCCTATCTTCTGTTTAGTTTTCCTATGTGGTTCCCGTTAAGTACGTTATCAGTATCATTATTCAAACCTATAGAAATAACTTTTTTTTTAAACTCGAACAATAACTTTTTAAATTTTATTTAAAAAAATAATTGTATGCAAAATGTATGTTTTACTTAGCTTTAGCATCGGCCAGTGTCAGTAAGAGGTAATAAAATCCTTATGAAATTTATCATCATCATCATCATCATTACGGCCCTTCACAAGTCCACTGCTGAACATAGGCCTTCCCCAAGGAATGCCACAAAGGACGTGTCGTGAAGCGACAATTTAAAACAAAAAAAAAGAACCTAACCTAGCAACAAAACAACAAAAATAGGGCAAAACAAATAATCTATTTAAAATATAAAAAAAAAGATATTTACAGATTTATATAAAAAAAATGATGTATGAGGATGAAGATGGGTGATGTGATTTACAATAATTTCTAAAAAAAAGATAATAAAAATGATGGGTATTGAAGCTGAGGCCGAAGATCCAGGAGGTACGCCGCTTTTGGTGGTGTTCTTCGCTGCCCACAGATTATACGCAGGCTGTGCTGGTGGTAGGCCCACAGCGCCTGGAACGAGCACGCACAGCGTAGGTGAAGGCGTGGGTGTGTCTAGGCGACGACTTCAGGTGAATGCAGAGGTTTGCAAGATCCGGCGTCTTCAGGCAAGACAGAGGCTTGCAAGATCCCAGCGACTTCAGGCAGGACAGAGGCCTGCAGGATCTGGCGACTTCAGGTAGGACAGAGGCTTGTAGGATCCGGCGAATTCAGGTAGGACAGAGGCTTGCAGGATCCGGCGACTTCAGGCAGGACAGAGGCAAGCAGGATCCGGCGACTTCAGGCAGGACAGAGGCTAGCAGGATCGGGCGACTTCAGGCAGGTCAGAGGCTAGCAGGATCGGGCGACTTCAGGCAGGACAGAGGTTAGCAGGGTCCCGGCGGCTTCAGGCAGGACAGAGGCTTGCAGGATCCCGGGGCAGTGCGGCCCCGGGATAAGGCCTTTAGGAGATTCTTCAAGTTTGAGAACCGAAACGAGACTGGGTTTCTTGACCGATTGTTCGGCTTTTATACCTTTTTAGAGAGAACGGAAAATTATTTAAATTGAAAGCAAATTTTTGTTAATGGCCAAGAAGAAAAGAGTATTTATGTGGAAATATTGAAGTAAAACAACAGACCGGTAACGAATTTGAATAAAAATTGCCATGACAAGCAGATAAACAACGATGTCAAAACATATCAAATTTTGGTTTCAGGCTCGTAATAGAGAAACGGCAAGATTTAAGTGAAAAATGAGATATTATTGCTATAGGAAAAAAGGTAGCGCACCGGCGCAAGCCCGAAATTGCAGAGTTACGGAGAACTAAATAAAAGATCGAAAAAGGTAGACTCCATCGACACCGATTTAAAAAGTGCTGATAGCGTGAAAATATGAAGTGAAAATGATTTGTTATTGTGTTCTTATGGTTTAAAAACGTTACAGGATCCTCTGGAAATAAAGGTGATACAAAATATCCAGTTTTGAGGTGAATACAGAAAATCAAAACAGAATGGAAAAAATGAATTTAAAATAGTGTAAAATTATATGTAAGTAGCATAACACTACAGACGGTCCTGAACCACCTGCATCCATCGACTTCCTGCATGTCTTACTACGTCGTCACTCCATCTAGTGGGGGGACGCCCCTACACTTCATCCGCTGGTACGAGGCTGCCACTCAGAACCTTTTTTCTCCGTCGGTTGTCGGTTCTTCGAGCTATGTGGCCGGCTCATTGCCACTTCAGCTTACTAATCCGTTGGGCTATGTCAGTTACTCTGATTCTACTGCGGATATCCTCATTTCTAAGTCTATCACGCAGAGAAACCCCGAGCATAATAATAATAATAATAATAATAATAATTTATTCAGATAGAAAAGTGATACAGAGTAAGAGTCAAACAATGCATATTATATACTAAATATGTTCTTAAAAATGAACTTGCTTCCTAAGTTAGGGTAAACCCTGTGTTTTAGGTTAAGCAAAGCTCTTCCCACTTACATAAATCCTTAAATAAGATAAACAAAATATAATGAAATAATACAAAAGTGACACAAAAAAAAAATAGATCCTTAGAATTTAAAAGAAATGCACAGATCAAAATAAAATAAAAAAAAAATTTTGCAGAGAGGTAACGAATTGACATCTATGAACACTTATGCAAGTACTGTTAACAAATTCTCCGTTTCTTCATAAGACTTTAGTTGAAGCATAGCCCTCTCCATAGCTCGCTGAGCGACCTTGAGCTTCCCCATACGGCCAGTAGTGAAGGACCACGTTTCAGTTCCATAGGTCATCACTGGCAACACGCACTGGTTGTACAGTTGTTATGAAATTAATGTTTGTAAATTCCCGTTCGGACCCACCGAAACTAGCGCTGTTATTTCGGCGTCAGCATAAGCTGAGTGAGATCCGTTTGCCTAACGCGCCACAACATACACCATGAGGAACGTTTTTATTTTCTTTTCTTTTTTTCTTTTTCTTTTTACTATAATCTTGTATACATACTGTTATTTATTTATTTAACAATTTATGTAAACACAAACAACGGAAAGGACACAACATAATGTAGAGTTTGTACAAGGGTGCTACTTATCTCGTAATGAAATTTCTTCCAGTAGGACAGAATTGTTTTAAAAAAAAAAATTAAATTATTATGTCCATAAAATTGTTGTTTTCTTTATTATTATAATAGTTCATATTATTTTTTGTTAAACTATTTTTAATTGATGTCTACAAATGTTAAAATATAAGTATCTAAAGATGTTTGTGGCGTGTTGCAATAAATGTTTCTGTCTTTCTTTCTTTATAAATTGCCTCTACAATACAGGAGAAAGTCCTATAAGTGGGGGTAACGTTTTTATATTAAAGATGAAGATAAAAGATAAATTATTTTCGAAATGTATATTCAGAAATAGATTAGAAAGTTACAGCGAAAACAAAACAAAGTTCTGTAGTTGAAGTTTATATTGTTAAATATTTTCAAAGAACTCTCCATCAACATCAGTACATAGTTTTATGCGTCTGAAACAATTTTCGAAACACCTTTTCCAGTATATCTCAGACACTTCTTCTAAGGCCTGCTCGAACGCTCTTATTTCATAATAGCTGTGCCCCGCGGTTTCACCCACGTCATCACGTGTCCGAGGTGCGCAACATGACCTAGTTTAAGCATTTTATAACGGCTAGGTTTTAAGCGTCGTTCGCGCGCCCAGCCAAGTATTGAATTATTTTAATTTTACATTATCTTTTAAACTATGCGTCCAAATAACATGGTATAAGGAACAAAGTTTATATCTTTATAAAATTATCTTGATGATGAAGTAACTTTCGTTCGCAAGGACAAATAGGCCATGCCTAATAATAATGCTCATAAATCACTTTTAAATTTTCAATATTTTTTTGTCACAAAATACCAAATTATGGCTTATGTATAAGAAATGGACATATGGTATCACGGACTTTTTTTAGACGGAGTAAAGGTCTATATTTTTCTAGAACATTGTATTTACGTATCCCTAACGATAACACCAGCGTACGCGGATAAATCATTTCGGGAGTGCTTTTTTTTCTGACTTGCTTAACAAATATCCATATTTAAGGCTAGCTGAGTGATATAGTGATATTGGATTACGTCAACGTACTCGGTTGAGAACACACCTGTAATACTTTGCTCCGTAATTTTTAGTGAATACTCATAATCAAAAGTGTTTACTTAACGTCAAAATTACTACTAATTCGAAGAAGACAAACGAACAAAGATTGTAGTGAAAATTAGAACCCGAAAATTCATCAGTCCATCTGGTTAAAAGCAAAAATATTTCTAAGTTTTTATATCGGCTGGAACGGCACTGACCTAGGACAACCCGTACACTGACTGCATCGGCCGTGAGGTGAGTCATTACGCCCTCACTGAATAACGCACTTCAACTCGCTCAAACTATTTAAGTCTACCGTACGTATCTAAAATTTATTTTGTCTCTTGACTGGCAGTCTGCGTTTAAAATGTCTACGACTTGCAGCGGTTGTAACAACAAAATTCACAATCTTGGCTTCATGAAATGTTCCAAGTGTAATAAACTATATGACTTAATATGTCTTAATATAACGGAGGAACACTTTAACACACTTTCGCAAAAGTACAGAGATGAATGGATTTGCCCATCATGTGTTTGCTCCCTACCAAAAAAGAGTAACCTGTTAACGCCAGTGCGTTCCCCAGCGGCTTCCCTGAATGACAAATACACAATGAGCCTCAATGTCAACACCACAAGAGGGAATAAACAAAAATTGAAAAGCTCTGAGCTGCTTTCAAACGAAGACGTCGACTTAACTACATTAATTTCTGAAATACGCGACTTCAGGGACGAAGTTAAAGACATAGTACGCCAAGAATTGAAAGTGCAAACATCAGCTATTACCAAATGCTTTCAAGAGAGGCTAGGCGAATTATCGAAGACACTTGAGTCTAAAGACTTGGAAATCAGTTCATTAAAATCATTAGTTAATCAGTTACAGCAACAAATCGCCGTCCAAGACCAACACTCGATGCGAAATGAACTGGAGATTATTGGTATGCCTGAAGAAAACAATGAAAATCTCACGCATATCGTTCTCGCTACTTGTCAAAAGCTCGGAGTACAAGTATCCGAAAATGAACTGGATGAAGTGGTACGTGTAGACCCTAAACGATCCTCAGGCTCAAAATCATCTATGCCCAACTACAAACACCCGCGCCCAATCATAGTCAAACTACTGCGACATAAAAAGAGGGATGAGCTTATAACGGCAGCCAGGGCCAGGCGAGGCTTGTCATCTGAGAACATTGTAAATAGCTCACCACAGAATATTTATATTAACGAACGGCTCACCAAGTCTAATCGCTATTTATTTCGAAACTCAAGACTGCGAGCAAAGAACCTGGGCTTCCAATTCTGTTGGGTACGCAACGGAGGGATCTATATCAAACAAGCAGAGAACAAACCAGCTATCCGTATTCTTTCCCACGAAGACCTGGATACCAAAATTGGCCCCGAAAAAGCAAACGAACTGTCCTAAAAGTGATATTTTATTTTTTGTTAAATTTACCGTAATCAAACACAATAGACTTATTACAATTTCTATTACTAGAACATGCATACACACTTTCACACACAAAACGCACCACACCAACATCACACTACACAATCATCATTCCCGATTGTTCTGGCTCTCAATTAATGACTACTGTCCAAAATCACTCTTGCAGTTAGTAGAATTATTTGTTATTATTAAGCGAAAAAATGTGTGACTTTCATGTTGACATAGACGAAACTTTGACAGTAAAGTGTCATTCCATTGAGAGCCTAGAGCAATGTCTTAATTTATTACCCGTAGGTGTCGACTTTAAAGTTTTAAATGTCAATATTAGGAGCCTCCAACACAATTTTGCCGGTTTTTTGATTTCGTTAGCCCGACTTAATGTTGATCCAGATGTGGTTATACTAACGGAGTGTTGGCTTGGTGTAAACCCCACGATTCCACAAATTCCAGGATATATTTCCTTTTACACAAAAAATAACCTTAATAAAAGTGGAGGTGTCACCGCATATGTTAAAGATTCATGGAGTGTAATATCTTCAGAACCGTTAAGTGATCAGTGCGATTGCCTAAACTTAAATTTAAATAATCAAACTACTATTCTAGGGATATATAGGTCTCCCTCTATTAAGAATGTGAATAACTTTCTAGCCTTTCTCGATAAATCATTATCGGAAATTAACAACAAGCATGCCGTGGTGTTGACAGGTGACTTAAATATAAATTTAAACGGAGACCCACTTGATGATCAGTGCTCCGAGTATCTATGCTTGTTAGCAAGTCATCAACTGCTCTCTGCTATCTCTGAGCCTACCAGGGGCTCGGCCTGCCTGGACCACATCTTCGTTAGGGGTACAGATTCTGCTGTTGGTATAGTGTGCCATGCAGATCTTACTGATCATGAAATTTGTTTACTTGGAACTACTATCAACCAGGCGAATCACCCATCTCGAAACCACGGTAAGTTAAAAATGGTTTTTAATCGGATTGTTAACAAGCTTGAGTCGACTGATTGGTCATTGATAATGAATATGGAAGACGCTAACGAGGCAGCTGATAATTTTAACTCAATCTTAGAAATGGCAATAAACGAAAACACAAGTTATGTGGTGCCCAAACGATCAGAACGAGTTATAAAGCCATGGATAACTCCAGGCTTAATGAGATGCCAAAAACACCGTGACAGTCTCCATCTCAAAGCCAGGAGAAACCCTTACAATACATTTATTCAAATAACTTATAAACGTTACAGAAACTTCCTTTACGCGCTACAACGAAAATTAAAGACCGAATACGAGAATAGCCAAATTCAGCAAAATAAAAATAACCCAAAAAAATTGTGGAAAACGCTCAAAAATATATGTAATCTCTCACGTAACACTACCGAGGCTACTGAATTGTTGTCCGTAGACAAAGACCCAGATTCTTCTTTAAACGCTTGTAACGAGTACTTTACTAGAGTTGGCAGAGAACTGGCTGATGACACGCTCAGTAGATTAAACACCCAAGAAGACCTGTTAGCTGCAGAATACAAACCAAGAGTGCTTTGCAAGGACTCCCTTTTTCTGCAGCCAACGGATCCTTATGAAGTTGGTACCCTAATTGACCAGCTAAAAAATGATACTGCACCAGGTATCGACGGCTGCACCCCAAGGTTAATTAAACACATAAAAAACACAGTTCTGCAACCACTTACCCACATATTTAATCTTAGCTTGTTATGTGGCATTTTTCCTAATTGTTGGAAACTAGCAGTTGTTACTCCAATACACAAAGATGGGGATAAAAACTGTCCTAGCAATTACAGGCCCATATCTTTGCTAAGTATATTTTCCAAGTTACTGGAAAAAATTGTAAGCAAGCGCCTCACCAACTTTATAGAAAATAATAATCTGCTCTCTGTAAATCAATTTGGCTTCAGGAGGGGTAAGTCCACGGAGGATGCGGTAGTCCTACTGACAGATGCTGTGTCTAGATATTTGGACAATAAACGCAGCTGTTTAGGTATCTTCCTAGATCTTGCTAGGGCCTTCGACACCGTGTCGGTACCTATACTACTGCGGAAGCTTGAAATAAAAGGAATTAGAGGAGTGGCGTTGGCTTGGTTCCGTAGCTATCTCTTAAATTGGCGTCAATGTATAAGAGTGGGCTCACATACAAGTAAGCAATTAAAAATCAGTATTGGAGTTCCTCAAGGAAGTATTCTTGGTCCAATCCTATTCTGCATTTACATTAACGACGTCCTAGAATTACCCATACAAAGAGCTGACGTCATATGCTATGCGGACGACACAGCCATTATATTTAACGATTTAACTTGGGACAGCGTACTAGAGACGGCTCAAGAAGGCATGGTAGTGTTGAATAAATGGTTAAGTTCCAATTTACTAACTCTAAACTATAAAAAAACTAAGTTCATAGCCTTTCACAAAACTCTCGCATCAAAACCATTTTCGCCGGTAAACTTAGTAATTCACACTTGCGAATCTGAAGTTCCCTCTTGCGGTTGTAATATAATCAGCAACACAGATAACATCAGGTATCTAGGAGTGATCAATGATGATAAGCTATCATTTAAAAACCATCTAAGCCGCTTGTCGGGTAGTGTTAGGAAAACCATTTACATTATGAAAGCTTTGCGACGCTGTGCTACTAAAGAAACAATGAAAATGGAATGTTTTTTGATTAAATAAATACATTTTCTATTTTCTATTTCTATATAGCTTAATGCTAGATAGCCTATACTATTCCACATGAATCTGGCTGTAATATACAAAAAGAGATTTTCAAATGGGATTGGTAGTTCCAGAGATTAGCGCGTTTAAACAAACGAAAAAAACAAAAAGCTCTTCCGTTTTATTATATTAGCATAGATTAGGTATTTGTTATACAGCGTATTTTCAGCGCATGAATAAATAATAAATTATTAAGGAATTTATGGATGACTAGCTGACTCGACAAACGTTGTTTTGCCATATACATTATTTCTAAGAAATATTTTTTACTTTTAAAATCCGCGATTAAAAAACAGCGGTTGATTGTAGAAGGGTGAAAATTTGAAGTTTTATGTATTTTTTCAATGCTAAATTATAATAATAAAAAAATAAAAACAATTGTCAAAAAGAAAAATAAAATATTTAGAGGTCAGTCACCCATATCATTTAGGCGTTTGAAAAATAGACGTAGGCCGATTCTCAGACCTACCCGATATGCACACAATATGTCATACAAATCGGTTCAGCCGTTTCGGCGGAGTTCGGTAACAAACACCGCGACACGAGAATTTTATATATTAGATATTAAATCCTGGGAATGAGGTGATTGCTACTAAGCGTGGAAAAGCCACGCTGCACCTATATTAGTAGTTGTAGCACGAATGGGTCGGCTCGACCGGGGAAGGACCACGCTCTCACAGAATAAAAGTTAAAGTTAAAGATACAGCTTATATACGTCCCACTGCTGGGCACAGGCCTCCTATCATTTCTCAAGGGTTTTAGGGCAAGGAAGTGTCCGCCACGCTGCCCTAATGCTTGTTGGCGAACTTCACATATCTTCGAAATATATTTATTTTCTTATATCTCAGACATACAGGTTTCCTCGCGATGTTTTCCTTCACCGCCGAGAACGTGGTAAATCAGCACTTAAAATTGCAATTAACAATTTAATTGGTGCCGACGGGGATCGAATCCGCAAATGCTCGCGTACTGTGAAATATACAGCGAGCGCTAACGGTCTGAGCTACCACAGCTCACTTATACAAAAACCAGCGTAAAAAGGAGCTTAATGCTGCTGTGTTTCGTATGGTGAGTGTAGAGAACCGGATACCCTTTTTACTGGAAACGAGGCATTCCATCTTCGTCCTCACGGGTGACAACGCATTTGCATTTTAATCCGCAAACAAAGATAGATCTAGATGTCTATGGGCCACAGCAACCACTTACCATCAGGTGGACTGTGTACTCGCTTGTCACCCTTGTCTTATAAAAAGCTGTTTCTAATTACTCTTCTGTAGTTCCTTATCAAAAAAATAAGTCTCGTTGGACTTCTTGCTGGTTCTTTCCAGGGCAGAGTTATTTTCCGAACCATTGGTAAATTACACATAAGAGTGACTTTCAATAAGTATTATTTATAATCTAAATTGAATAAAAAAGTTACGATTTCTATTTCTATCCGTTTCAGCAGATTTTTATATTAAAGAATAAAATGAAGTGACACGGTGCCAAATCAGGGATGTAGGGAGGGTGAAATCTTAAATGTTATGATGTTTTTTTATAGCAAACGAGCATGCGGCTCACCTGATGGTAAGTGAGTACCGCCGCCCATGAACAACTGCAACACCAGGGAGGGAATTGCAGATGCGTTGCCGGCCTTTTAAAAAAGAGTACGCTCTTTTCTTGAAGGTCCCTAAGTCGTATCGGTCCGGAAAAATCGCTGATGGTAATCGATTCCACAAGGTAGTTGTGCGAGGAAGAAAACATCTTCTAAATCACACAGTGGTGGTCCGCCAATCATCCAGGCAGTGTGGATGGTATCGGGAGTTTTGCTGCGATGTGCGTTGGTGAAATTTGGCGGCTGGGATTAATCCGAACAATTTCTCAGAGCACTCCCCGTGGTAGATGCGATAGAAAATGCAAAGGGATGCAACATCTCTTCGCAGCGCCAATGAATCGAACCGATCGGAAAGGACTTACGTAATAAGGGACTTCCTTTATTTTGAGCGCGCAGAGTTTGCGGGCGCGTTGTCATGGTGAAGCAGTAGTCCTCGAGCGTATTCGGTTGCTTGTTGCTCACAGCAGTGAACACTGCCGGCAAGAATTTCGTAATATATCTTACGACATTGAAGCTTCTTTGATTTCGTAATGGAACTGACACCTAATACCCTGTCAAAGTGAACAAAACTAGCGATCCAAATCTTCCCAGCGCTTCTCGATTGCTTCACATTATTTTATTAACTTCCTTCTGCGTAGCATTGAAAGGAA